GCAAATAAATCCATCAAGGGAAAATACGAATTAATGATCACGGTGCGGGGAGTAAGGGAGAGAAGGGAGAGGTGACGACGAAGGGGAAAGGGAAGGGCTTGGGAGGGAGCAAGAGCGCGCTGGACCTCCACGCTCACTCTCACCTCCACACGGACGTCTTCTCCGAGCAAGGCCGGGGGCGAGGGGGGTCCTCGCAGCTCGGTCTTTTTCCGTCCCAGGAGGCCCCGGTGCGGGCGGTGCGTACGGCCCCCCCCTCTGCCCCTCTGCCCTCTCCGCCCGCTCGTTCTCTGCAGCCGTCGTCGTCGCTGCCGCTGCCGTCGCCGCCTTTTGAGTCAGAGTCTGGGTCCCCGGGTCGGAACGCGGGCTTGGATGCGAAACTGGCGCAGGGACAGAGGCGGACCTCATCCACGTCGCCCACGTCGCCCACCCGCTGTCGTGCCCCCGCCCACCCGCACGCGCACGAGAAGGAACGCGCGGAGCTGAGGGCGCTGTTGGAGGCGCTCAGCGTGCGGCTGCGGCTGCAGAGCGAAGGTGCGGGCGAGGGCGGGAGGGGCGAGCGCCACCGTGTGCACCAGCACCATCGCGTGCGCTCCGTGCGCGGGGCGGACGAGCGCGAGGGGTGCGAGCACGACCGGTCGGGGAGTACGGCTACGTATTGGACTGCGGCAAGCGGGGTGAGTGGGACGAGTGAGGGGACGATGTATTATAGTGCGCGGTCGAGTGCGTATATGTGTTAGTGTGGGTGTGTGAGGGAGGCCTTGTGAGCTTGAGTCTTTGGGCATCGTCATCTCCCTACCCCTTACTCATGTCTCTCGGGCTCTGCGGGCTCCCTTGCCTCCAAGCCCGACGCTGTGCACCGCGTTTCGTTTCCCGCCAAGTTCCAAGTCCCGTATTCTATGGTCTATGGTCTATGGTTCCGTGTCCTACCTCTCACTACCCCGCCCGCCAGATCCTGCGTGGGCAGTGGTGCAGGCAGACGTTCGATTCTTGTTTGTTCAACGGCGTGCTGTCTGGCTTTTGGCCTCTGTCTGCTTGTTTAGAAGGAAAGACAAAAAGAAGAAGAAGAAGAAGAAGGGTGGCTTGGGGTTGCTCGGGTTGGACTGTGGACTGTGGCTGCGAGTGCGAGTGCGGTTCACTTGCGAGTATGCGAGCTGCTGTCGTTTTGTTGTTTGTTGTGCTCGCTCACTTGATGTCCTCACTCACTCACTCGCACTTCAAATCCCTCTCTCATTCCACGCACACACACACGCGCACGCTTATTCCACCCTTCCACCCACCTCACCCGCCACGCTCGCTCACTCGCCCACCCATCCAGCTCCTATCCACTCACTCGCTCCCCCCATCGCACGCACGCATCCTTGCACTTGCTTGCACGCGCCACCCCACACCCCCCCCAAAAAAAAAAAAAAAAAGCTCAGCCCCACTCGTCACTCTATAACGCGGGTGCAACGCAAACGGACGCCGACGACGACGACGACTGCCTTTTGCGCGACTGCTGCGGGCCGCTACGCATCATCAACCTCACAGCCCTCACTACCCACGATCGCGACGCGCTGGCATTTCCCTGGCGAAAGCGGGGGATGCGAGGTGCGAAAGCTGGGGTTGGGGATTTTTATATATGAAATGGAGTTGACTTTCTTTTGACTTTTTTCCTTCTTTTGGGTATTATGTTGGTGGTGCTCCATGGTGGGCAACGACTCGATGGCGGCGAGTCGAACGTTGAGGCCGCAAAAGTAGATGTATTTTATTGTCTATAGTGTACCCCCCCCCTCTTTGACATACTCTGACGAGTTGTAGCTACCGCCGACGTTGACTAGTGTAGAAATCATAAAATTTGAAATGGGTCAGGGTCTTGATGCGTCTCATTCTGATGTTCTATAATTTACGAGGCTCGTGAGGGTGGATGTGAAAATGGTGGACATGGTGATGGTAGCGCTAGTATGGTGATAAGCTTGAAACGATCGTGTTCGTACCACCTCGGAGACTCAGAGCGGGATTGCGAATCCGGCCACTACCAGGGTGAAAACAAGGTCGGGACTAGAGCCGCGTATTCAACGTTCAAACGCTCAACGTTTGTCACGAGGAACGAGAGCCCCCGTCATGGCGCAAACAGCGCGGCCCCAGTGTACGGCGCTACATCTGGTTGGGACCAAAATGGCGGGCGAGCTTGAAGCGAGTATCAGCAAGTGATGTGGGTTAGGTGATACGACTTGGATGGTGGTGGAAGATGTTTACCCCATGAGCGCGAGGATCGTGATGAGTGCAGTTGTCGGTGTTGATTCCACGGTACGTGCTTTGAGAAAGAGGGTATGAACGCTATGGGGCACTTGAGCTGATAGATGAACCGATGGATGCAATGATCGCATCCTCGGACATACGCACAGGACGGTACTTCAAGTTACTGCAAGGCTATACAGCACGGCGCTTGCAAGCGGCAACGAAAGAAAAAAAGAGACTATTATTGTTCTATACATAGTATGCACCATTGGCCACTGTGTGCAGTGTCGTGCTGGCTGTACGCCGGTAAGCTGATCGCATAGGGCTGGGTGTGGTGCGGTTGGATTGGATCGTTTGATGTTACCATGTGCGCTGATCATGGATCGGCGTTTTGTCCAGCCCTGCGCACCAAACTTGAATCGGATCCAACCAAAAGGTGCAGAAAATGCAGTCAAACATCATGATCGTATATGTCACGGTGATCGAAGTGGACAGGAAATTCCAACGCCACGCATGTCGTGAAACACCGCGGCCTCCCAATTTTCCAGATCAGTCTCGTGACCAACATTCAAGAGTTCAAGAGGAACTAAATTTGCTATCATCCCTTCCGTCCGAGTCTATGTCATCCTGTATTCACAGTCTTTTTTATATTGCAATATTATTATGATCGTGGCCAGTTAGAGATACTGCCACAGGACAAACTCTTTTCGCCGGCTGGTTGGAACCTATCCGGTATGTCTTCATTTGATCTGTAAATCCCCCTCAAAAAGAATTGAATCAATTGCCTGGCGCCGTCGAATGCCCAACGCACTCGTATCTGGCTCGTCGTGCCCAACCACCACCAGAATGCCGAATCGTCCTCGCAGAGGGAGCTCTTAATCACAATCTCACAATGGCACGCTCGGGGACAGGGCCGGCAACGCAACAGCATAAAACTGAATGAGCCTCAGCGTCCAAAACATATAAATAACTTGAAGCCGAAAATCATTAGGGGGAGGCTCGCTAGCGCCGTCGGCATCGGTCACTTCGTGCACAACTGTGGAAGCCGTCACGATCGGGGAGATATTTCGGTGGCCTGGCCCAGGAGGGTTTATATGACGAGCAGATCACCTCCCATTGCATATCATACATCATGTTTACCCCGGTCTCAAGTGACACTTCGTTCCCGCTCACGTCCACGTTTGGGGTTGCACTGGCTGGCTCGTGGGTAGGGGTGTGTTTATATGGACTGACTATAGCGCAGGCATGTCTTTATCTATTTTCTTTTGCTCGTCCCCTCCTCATGCTATCATAGGCGTATATCTATTTCCAAAAGTACCCAAAAGATAGCTGGCAGACGAAATCACTGGTGTGTTATTATTTATACCCGCTCGAACATCTTCTTTGACAGTGCTACCACTTTGCTTAGGTTGGATCTCTATGGTGTGTTTTAGCTATCGTCCCATCATTGAACTCGCTAATTGACTATGCCTCTTTCTGGCGTTAGGGCTCTAAATACATTGCATACCATTTTCGGTGCGAACCATCATATTTGTCTGTGATGTCGAATTGACGTTTATATACCAGTGTGCCTACTCTGTTACCATTATATGGTTTTTCCCCGTCCACTCAAGGGTCCTCAATGTCTATTCACATCGTTATCAACAGATAACGGCGCTATTACACATGGATGTCAGCATGCTTTTGGTTAATGTGTGGTATGTCTCATTCGTTAGCATTCAAGAGTACTTTGTTTTGACTTTTTGTGTATACCAGGTCTTTAAGTGTATGTATCATACTCACGGCTCATTTTTGCTGATGCTTATCAATATGTCAAAGATGCTACTTTTTTTACGCGTTAGTTGTAGTCGCCGTTCCTCGTCTGGGCCACAGCTGACTTTCCTGTATTTTCATTATTCCAGTGCGTAGTGTCCGCCATTGTCATGTTGTGAGTTCTATCTAAACCCACCCGTGATACACACATCTCACTCTCAATAGTTACTACATCAAGACAATAATTCAACGTGCGCTTTCTTATGATCTACCCATGCCATAAAATCATGTTTTCTGTAGTCAATGGAGAGAAAATGCGCTGGTGGGTTATAGGGATCGTTGTATGTGGCACTTTTTTTATTTGTGAGCGGAGCTGACCAGACTCATGCAATATATCAGATGGTCCCAATCGTATGCTATTTCGGTGAGAACAATGTAGCTTCAAGGCAAGGTTCGCGGCTGATAATGAAGTGCTTTATTGCAAAAGCCTTCGCAATAGGTTCGATTATAATTACCTCACCGTAGATCTTGTAGCTCATTTCTTTGCACTACTTTAGACACCATCCTGCATGCGTATGTACCTTTTTCTTCTTTATACTCGCCAGGTATTCAAGGAGCCAATTTCGAACAATAGCTATTGGACGTCAATCTTTACGGAGGTCTTCGGATTTGCTGTAATCTCACTCTGATACATATCTTCACCAAAAGTATTCACGCTATTTTTCACAGTACGTATCCATCCTGCCTTGCTTAGTAATGCAAGTCATTTCAGATGGATTCATCACAGTATCTCTGTGTATAATCTTGTTCAAGAAACGAACCGAATTCAAGGGGTGAGCCATTCCCCTTCTGCGTGCATATCAGGGCTTATCATCCTACAGCACACGTAAAATCGTCAATGCATTGATACTCTTTACTACCACCCGAGGTTTGGTAACATTGTACGTTGCTTGGTTGTATTGTTGATAAATGTCCCATAGACTGATTATTTACAATTAGACTAGCTGCATTGACCATGGTCATCTTGGTACACTCGCCACTACTACTGCCGCAACCTTTACTGATAGACCTGCATAGCTCATGATTCGCCCCGATCAGATGTGGTATATTGGGCCTGAAATCACCATGGTTGGTCTGTACACAAATTCGCTCATGGCATTTTTCAATACACGGAGCTCTTCATGCGATACCAAGACAGTGTCTCCCACAGTGAACATGAGCGGCAAAACTCCATATCTCAGCAGCCGCGGTGAAAGACACCAGAAGGACACGTACATTGCAAACAGGGTCTCAGATCATAGGTGTGAATCATTTATGTCACCCGAGACTAGCAACAGCGATGAGGTATGTTATCCTGGAAAAGCATGTCCAAGTTGTTTCCTGATGTTTTTACCTTGCAGATGGCTAAAGTCAACCATGTGGTATAACCGTGGGTTTTCATCGATTTCCTAGGCTGTGCCGATTTCGGGGCCATTTAGGAATTCTACACTTAACCTTGTATTTGTCCGGTCTTTCATGTTTTAATGCTCCCCTTTTTTTCGTGATTTCTGCCTCCTGAGCCTACTGTCTGTCAAGCGGGCTCTGGTCCCCTTGCATAATTTCATGTCTTTTTTAATCAGTTGCTTTACACTCTGATACGGCTTTTGGTACTTTTATATACTAGTATAATTCTTCCTGTATGTTCGCCAGCGAATCAAGCAGGACATGATAATAATATGATATTGAATACATCGTGTGGTATATTCGCCATTTAGTCGGTCTGGATAGTAATTTTATTTGCCCCGATGCCAGTGTAACAGCAGGCAAGGTCATAAATTGACCATTTTCATGATGCTCGATATCGATGTCAAGGGTCCAATACTAGCAAAAGACGACGGGTTAAAAGTTGAGGGGAGATTGGATGTAAAGGAGAGGGTAGTGGGACGGGGCGACGGGGCGGCGGTGGTTGGCGAAACGTTATAGCTGATGACCGGTGGCCGCTGATGATAAACCTCACGCTCGTGCTCATTCAGCGAATTTTCCGTTCAGGTTTTTCTCCTTGTGTCTCTTGTACAGGCCACAACGCACTTGAAAAAGGAGGGGAGATACGAACTGGGTTAAGTGACATCGGCAGCATAGAATTTCTTTTCTTCTGAACTTCTTCTTTCGAGTCTTTTGTCAATGGTGTTTATACTCGAACAATTGCGTTGTACATAATTGCATGGCACGGAAGGAGTCGAACGTTGAGGTCTCCAAATCTACCCACTTTTGCTCTGATGAGTTGACGTTGTAGTTATCGTAGTTGAGCTTGTGTAGGAACAATAAAATTCAAAGTCCACTTGCCTCTGATTTTGACAATTCTACAGTGAGCATGCCAGTGAACTTTTATTGCATGACTCACCTTTCGTTCAAGTTGACTATCTTTGCGTTTTTTTTCAAGACGAGGGAACTTCAACATAGACATCCAATTGAAGTATCAGCGAATAAGCCGGACTAGCTTTGCGATTCTATGACCCGTAGGAGGTCTCCTTATCCCTGTAAGACAACGCAGCTTGTACAAGGAAGTTGAGGTCTAGCTTTGAATGATGCTTAGCTTCGTGAGTTGACAGCAATGGGAAATGCTATACCACATATAGCAGAGGTAGCGAACCAGATGGTGTACAATGCCCATACGGTTGCATTTAAGGGGGACTTTGTGCTCGCGATGGTGCTAGAGATCGCGCAAAAGTCCAGGTTCGATGTAGCGATGCAACTCTTTTCCTGTGAGGCCGTAAGCAGATCAAACGGCGGAATTTAGTTGTCCCAACTTGTATAATGAAAGAGCGCCCGACCATGTTATCCGATTCGCTATACCTTACCATCCATTATTTGAAGAGCAGAAGAACAAATCTAAATGCAGGGCGCCGATATCTACACATGGCATGCACGTCGTGGAAGATGTAGAATGCGATGATTCATGCCGCCAACATAATTAATAGCGTCGTTCGAAGTAAACGCTGAAATATTTTCAGGAGCCTGAAAAAAAGAAAAGTGGATATTTGTAAGCGTCTGAAGCTGAAATAATTACCAGAAAGGGTCGGGTATAGATGAATTCTCGATCAGATATACAAAGTCAGACTACAAAGGTTGTATATATAAAAAATCAGATCAGATCGAGCCTCCCCCCCACAAATCCATCGTAACTATAGCCTCGTTCAAGGTGCGTTTCGTAAGGGACCGCTTAAGCCTGAAGTTCGGGAACTCTGGCTTTAAGCTGGCCACGTCATCAGTTATGGAACGCGGGGCAAGTAACCGAAGGCTCATACCTGGAAATCACCGAATAATATTTTTTGAGAAATCCAAGATAAATTGAGAAATAAACTACACGGCAAGTCTTCCGATAGAATTCGGCGCTTCAACCTTACTTCCTGCAAACACGGCCGTTTGCCATGCCTTGGCCTGCCCCCCCCTAAGCTACGCGTAGTCCAATGGCCTCACAAAACTCTGACGACAATACCTCCTCTGACAATCCCTCAGCTGACAGTCCGAGCCGTTACATTCTGACCGATACAAGTTGTCAAACGGCATCACTACGGACTCTTCAAAACCAAGGTAATATTCCCAAACCTGCGCAGATTAATTGGTCCAATCCAAGAACAGATCGATTGGTAGACTGTAGACTGGCTTGAGAAACATCCTAAACATAGATATGTTTTATTTTCAGATTCTACTGCAGTCGCCAAAGAAGAGAATCGGGATGCCTCAAGATCTACTAAACATACAAAGACCTCTTTACATAGAAGGATCGCTAGACACGTTTTCAAGAATGATTCCAATGTGAACTTGCGTATCGCGGTTGATCACCATCGCCAATGATTTGGTGAGTCAGTGCAGCATCGTCTTGCCAGGTATTTATTTCACCGTTTATTTATTATTTATTGACACTACATCGACGCTATCAGCCTCAGCAAGACATATCGAAGCCATCTGCGGGATTTAGGATCCACTGGTAGTGGCCTTGTGGTGGGGGATCCGTCCGATGCCCTGTACAACAGTCCAATCGGTGAGTTTTTTATTTTATTTTATACTTAGATTTGATTGCTGATTTTAAAAGAACGAGTTCGTGCTAAATTCCCGTGGTGGGACCGCCTCAGCACCTTCTGGCGTGCATCGCCGAAGTATAATGCGAAGCCGGCAACATCAGCACATGGTCAGGATCTCTCAGGGAAGGCTATGGCGGTTCTGTTTCCAATGAGGGGTGATGATGAAGCTTTCCAGCGCGGCATGAACTCACATTTCCAGGGCGGCGGGTGGGATTTGGTCGAACATGAGCAGGATGGCGGTGACGGCAGCAGCTATCAGCAGCAGCCGTCCCAGCACCAGGCACTGTACCAGCCGTCTCAGCACCAGGCGCCGTACCAGCCATCTCAGCAGCAGCAGCAGCAGCTGTACCAGCCGTACCAGCACCAGCACCAGCAGCAGGCGGCTGTGTATGCGCAGTACAGCAATCCCTCCCAGCAAATTCGATCTAGGTCGAATCCTTCGCTCTCCAGCTTGCCCTCCGCTACTCTGCAGCCCCAGCAGCGCTACGGGCAAATCACCAGCACAACCCCGTATATGGCTTCCCTGGACTTCAACCCATCTGACCCCTCACTATCCAGCCTGTCCATCAACAGTAACGGCTTGGACACCTCCGTCCCTGTGGTTCGGTCTGTCGCCCCCATTCCTCCCGCTTCTATCACCCGTCCCCCCATCTCGGTTACTGGCCATCAGCGCCAGCTCAGTGGGGGGGGTTCTTTGGGTCGGGGGCAGTCGCCTGCTTGCAGACGTTCACCTGCTCGACCCATTCACCTGCCTCGTCCCACTACTCCCACTTCAACCCGGGCAAAACGTAGCCGCGACGTCATCGAATTAGAGGATCCGGAGCCCAAGAAGAAGGCTGAGCCGAAGCAAACGAAGGGCAAGAAGCGCGAATCCGAGGGCGACTGCTTGAAGGCGTTGATGGAGCCTGTTCTCCAGGCAGAGAGTGATGGAATCAAGGCTGAAGCTGACCTGAAGGGGGTGAAATACGCACATTCAACAACGCTTGCACAGGGCAAGAATTTGAAGACGGCCAAGGATGCCAGGGCCGAACTTACAGCCGCGCTCTTTGAGCTAGCAAAGCTGCAGATGGTGCGCGAACAAAATGCCCAAGGGAGTAATGAGAGGGTCGAGGAGATGCAATTGAAGCGGGCGGTTCATGAACAACGCACAATGGAACTTCACTACCGGATGAGCCTGACTGGAGGACCTCCCCCCCCCCCATTTGTCCGCACCTGGCCCTTCTTTCAACGCCAGCTCCAGCTCCAGCTCCATCACCGCTCCAGGTCCCACCTCCAACGCACTCGGAAGAGTCATGAGTGCTGCCCGTGTGCCCTAATCCATAGTCCACAATCTTGAGATTATGAGGGAGGATGGTAATCTAGGGAAACCATCAGGTTATTCATATAATTCCAAAATAATGTTACTTACCTGAGAATTCAGAGAGTAGTTTGATTTCCTGTCAAAGAATGTCTCCCCATAGTGGCTTGGCTTTTGGAAGAGGCGAAAATTGGTGCCATCAACTGCTAAACATCCATTTCTCCACTCCGCACAAACCTGGTGCTCTACCCATGCTTTTGCTGCATCCTTTTCCTCCTGATTAGCTGGCCCAATAACTTGATCATGCAAAGAGAGAATAGCAATCATACAGCATTTGGTGCTGTTCACTACATTGCCGACTGAGTAACCTGCCCAGTCAGCAACGTCAGCGGCCGTAGATCCATTGCCATAATGGCCTAGGCGGTTCAGAAAGATTGAGAGTTGATGTTCTACAGGAGTTTGTGGTGTATTAGATTTATTATGAAAAATAGGATGATGGATGATCTTGGCCAGAATTGCATCAAAAGTCTCTGGTTGGCATCAATTAACATGGAAAAAACGGGTCTGGTTGTAATGACGTGACCGCTCCATAAGAGGAAATTGTGAAATACGTGGTGCTGATGGGTATGTAGTAAAAACTCTTGTGGTTTCTACTTCACTGCTTAGACGGATGTATTCACTAAGTAGAATCTGAATATGACGTATCCTGGGGCGCACTTGTACAACCCCAGCTGGTTCCTCATCAGGTGATATACCTGATATTTAAATACCAGGCATTAAACACTAGAAAATATTTAATCAATTAATCCATAGGGATTTACCTGACATTAATGAGGTTGAGTGTACGACAGATAACGGAGTACTCGCAAGTGACGCGTCACGTGATGCGTCGCCCTCTGAATTTTGGCTTTCGATCTGCGCCACCGGAGAATTGTGGCGGATGAGGCGTTGAAGGAGGTAGATGAGCGAGTCGTCGAGGTTGTCGAGACGCTGCTGGCGAGCAGTGGGTTGATGATGAGGCATGGTGGATGAGGTGTCAAGGTATGCTTTCCAAGCTTTTATATAACTTGAAGCATGCTTGATTCAATCTCAACCTCTAGGTTTCCTGACATTTTTCATATAGGTTTATTATTGATTTACAGTCTCGGCTCAAGCGTAAGTTTACTGCCGTCGCTTTGTCATGCTATTTCCACGCTGATGACACCTTTTCTCTCTCCTCAATTTCCTTACGAAACGCACCTTGAACGAGGCTTATGAGTCGACACCGTCCTACAATCCGCGATCAGCATCTCGATGCTCTCGACAGTTTATTCATCAACTCACAAACGACGCTACTTAACAACTTGCTAGCCTCCCTGAAACAACCGGCCCAGTTGTCTATCGGCATTTCAACGTCATCATCAAGTGATTCTGACTCCAGCGACTCGGTTAGCTCCAATGTGGGATCAGAGTTGGGGTTGGGGCTCGATTTGGATAGCTTATTGCTTAGCGGCGGGTCTGACGGCATAGGCGAATCGGATCGAGAATCTGATTGAGAGTCGGAGGGTGGTGAGGACAACAATGCCGAGGATATGGGGTATCAATCACATCCAATCACTCAGCTCACACTTATGCAGGTCACATCCGTAGTATACATGATGCTACACAAAACGGTGGAAGAGACCAGGGTTTTTTCTCCCAAAGCACCTGCATTTCGGCAGCCCCAACTTGGCTTGCTTGAGTGGGCTTGCCATAACGACACCCGCCATTTCTCGCGTAAGCTCCGCGTGCTTCCGGCAACTTTTGATGCAATCGTGACCCTGATCGAGAACCACCCAATATTTCATAACAAGTCCAACAACCCCCAGTACACTGTTTCCCTCCAGCTCGCCATCTTTCTTGTTCGGGCCGGACATTACGGGAATGCTGCGTCATGCGATGATGTAGCCGAATGGGCTGGAGTATCAGCCGGCACAGTAGTGCTATCGACTAAGTGGGTGGTTGTCGCGCTCATTTCCCTGCATGACATGGTTATGTGCAAACCAACAAATGAGGAAAAAATAAAAGCTAAAGCTTATGCAGGGTCAAAGGTCTGCCCATCGTGGCAAAACGGCTGGCTTTCAGTAGATGGGACAACATTCCCGCTGTTCCAAAAGCCAAGCCATTTTGGCGAGGCCTGGTACGATCGTTCATCAAATTACTCATTAAACGCTCAGGTGCGTTGTCCCGATCACAAATATTACATACAGATATTGACTAATTAATCCCAGATTGTTATCTTGCCACATAATCTACAGATAGTTGACTACGGTCTGGGCCATACGGGCAGCGTCCACAACTCCTATGCATTTGAAAGCACTCAGATCTTTTGCGATCACACAGCGTTTCTAGACGAAGGCGAGTGGCTGTGGGCTGACTCGGCATACCCCCTCCAAAAATGGTGTGTGACGCCGTTTAAGCGTCCCACAAATGGTAACCTTACACAAAGCGAGCGCCACTATAACTACTACCTCTCACGTATTCGAATCCGATTGGAGCATGTGATCGGCTTACTCAAGGGCCGATTTCAATCTCTGCGAGAACTCAGGATACAAATCAGTTCGCACCAGAGGCATCAGTGGGCTGTTATGTGGCTACGTTCATGTTTTATTTTGCACAACTTGGTGATTCTTATAGAAGGCGACAACAGTGCTGAAAGGTGGAATGATGATGGCGGGTTTGACAACCATGATGGGCGAGATGACAATCAGGGCGAAGCTTCTGAGGATGTACCTGACAATATAGCCGTTGCCCGTGAGTTGCCAGAAGCACCTCATGTCGTTGATGGGGTGAATATACCCGAGGGTCAGTTACTTCATCATCATTTAATGCTGGGACTTTTTTCTAGTCATCTTTATGTAGACTGAACCTGTAAACATTGAATGTAATACTTTGTTCACAAATACCACAACACTATGATTGCTCAACAAACATACAAAAAATAAAATAGTACAGAGATAGCGATGATTCAGAACAAGCATGATATTATGAATTCACTCGTACAACCCCCCATCAACTGCCATTGAGTCTTCATTGTCATCAGCATCATCATCAGCATCATCATCACCGCTGTAATCTTTATAATTGTCCAATGCACGAGAATTGAAAGCAGAGGTGGATACGGAAGTGGAAGAGGAAGCAACAGGGCCAGAAATTGACTGCTCAAAGAAATTGGACACCAGCGAAGAGGGAGCAGGCGAGGTAGAGTTATTGGCGAGAAGGGAAGAGATGATGCTACTATCCACACCAGGGATATCCTTGACGGCTTGGATGAGTTTGAATTTCATTTCAAACATGTCCTTCTCGTGTTGTCGCTGTTCTTGTTCCCTTTGTACCTGACTTCTGTTAACTAACTGCAGCTTCTCCTTGAACTGTTCGTGTTCCAACACAGTGGCTTCCTTATCTTTAGACCGCCTGTCACTGCATGCACGTTCTGCTATGGCCATGTACTTCGCATGCCTTGCGGCTACCTTACCTCCCTTAACTTGGAGTGCCTCCTGTGCAAGGCTTTGCTGTCCTTGCATAGCCTGCGCAACAGGCTCCATCACCTTCTGCATCAAGGACACATTGTCCTCAATATGAGATCGTGGCTGCTTACGTGGCCTGTCGTCCACCTTTGCAGACTGTGGGGTCCCAGCGTCCTTTGTACTGACCCTTCTGTCTGTGGTGATAAGACGCTCTGTGCTCACTTTGTTGCCTGACGATGTTGCTAACTGGGCCCGGAGTGTCTCTCTGACGGTCACAGCAGATGGCCGTTTTCCCGATTTGACAATCTTTGCGGGCGCAGTTGCAGTAAGCTTAGATGGGACGGGGGGAGGAGGTGAGGCCAAGCGAGAAATGGGAGAAGACGGGGGAAGGTTCGCAAAGAAGCCAGGGTTAGGTGAGAGAGGAACGAGGTTCGCGCTGGGATTTGCACTGAAGCCAGACTGGCCAGAGGACGGAGAGCCTGGAGGTACGCTTGCGTAGAAGCTGGAGTGGCCCGAGGCGGGAGAAGCGGGAGCCTGGTTCATAAAGAAACCAGAGTGTCCAGACACGGATCCAGAGACAGGAGAACTTGGAAGCTGGAAGGGTATATCTTGAAATGGTACATCACGCACTTGTAGATGTCCGACTTCTAAACCTTGGAGACCTCAAGGCTGCATATCGTCAAATGAAGAACCGAAAGAGTGAGAGGAATGGTTTGTCTGGAAAAGTGAAGAAAGGGATTGATGGTATGCTTCTGGGAAAAGGCTGGCGGCATTTGGGTCAAAAAAACTAGGATCAGTTGCGATAGGCGGTAGCGAAGGTAGTGATGAATTGTTTGGCAAGGAAGAAGCTGAAGATACCATGCCAGAATTGGCGAGAGAACTACTGTGATGGTTGATATGCGGAGGGATTTGACTGAACTGAGCAAATTGATTGAACGGTTGGTGGACAAAGTTGTCATTCTGGAAATGCTGATAATCCTCATACCCATGGCTCTGGGGGAGAGGTTGTTGAGGTAGCTGATTGTGGACCTGCATTGCGGGTTCACTTGCTGCATGATGGTCAGCTCGACTCCGGCTACGCTTGTTTGGGAACAACATATTGAATGCCTGCGCCTCGTGATCCTGGTCTGGATCTGATGACGTTGTGAACAGATTATAGTTGGGGATTTTCCGCCAAAAGCCATGCAGACGGTTGAAGATCTTGAATTTTGTAGTGATCACGCCTATAAATAATGCAAATAGTCAGTGGTTTGTGCTACTCAAAGGAAAAGGCGACCTGAACTAACGTAGGAACGCACCAATTGGTCCTTTGTAGTTGGGGTTCCCTTCTAGTTGGTCAAAAGTGAGACCAGCTCCAGTATGACCCAGCGTTGTACAAGATTGACGGTATTTTTTCTTGAGTCTGAACAGAAAGTTATGAGTTGGCCTGACTTGAATAGATGTGAGGGACAACGTACGAGGCGATGTGGTTATCGACAGCTTTTGCAAACCTTCCCGGATTGGCTTTGAGAGTGCTGTGTATGACTGGATCCCTATCTCCACTGAATACAAACTGAGCTATCTCCCCATGTATCGTAACCTTGCTCGACTTTGCCTGATCCTTCTTCCTACTCTCTTTGTTGGCATCTTCCTGGGAGTCGGAGAAGAGCAGATGTCGTTTCTGAACATTTTGTTCCAACCAATCCAGGAGACAATCTGTACGTTGTCATGCACCAAAGTTGATTGGTAGCATGGACAGGTGTCAATAACAAAGTGAATATTCAAAAAGACTTGCCTTTGCGCCACACAGGCACAGTGCCACGTGGAATAGTAATTAATATTGCCCTTTTCGAACTTGTGGCTGATCAGCACCACCTCTATTAGGCAATCCAGTCACGCTCACCTTTGCTTTTCCATCTGGTACTTTCGGCATTTCGGCATTTCAGCAAATTTTTGCGTCGCCACTGGCTACACATTGCATTGCGCCCTCACTTTTGTCGTTTCCCTTACTCCCCTTCCTTTGCCTAGCCCCACCATGGGCCCCTTCCTCTCCTTTTTATTCTCACCTGATGGTCGTTTCTGGATCCCCATTCTAATCCACTTTTTTGTCACCTCCACCCTCCTCCTCCTCATCTTATTTGCACCCCCACCATTTCTGATGTCACCACTTCCTATCCGCTTCCATCGCCGATCCGTTGACTACCACGTGCCACTGCTAATATCAGCAAAGCCCCGGCGGCCGGTCCAAATAGGGCAACAGGTCCATCTTCATGACGTCAATCTGCCATCATATACTATCAAAACATCGGTCGCTCGTCTTGCCTGGTTGGAGCGTGGGTGGGTAGTTTTGAGCTGGAGAAGGTCTATCCCCTTGCGTCGCCCATGTTCATTGCTGTCCCATTCACTTGGGTACACTTATCTTTTGTCCATCATCTTCGCTACAGCTACACCTATCACATGCTGCCTGGGACTCACTTGTTCCAAATTGGAACTACTCCTCTCCCTCCCTCGTTTGATCAGGTGGTCCAACACAACCAGTCCATTGGTAAGGCCATGGAACTGTCGGATTTGGACTAGGTGGTGGACCGGTGGCTCCAGTTTCTTTTTCCTCAGCAGAACATTCATTTACAGTGCGATTATTTTTGATTTTTGAATCATTTTTATGGACACATATTTTTTTAGAATGCCTGACTGACAATAAAGGAACTGTGTTGATACTGATAGTGTTTTGCCTTGCCCTTTTTTTTTTTACTGCATCTTCCCATGACATCATGATTTTCCTGCTCTCTTTTTGCTATTGGACTTTACTTTATGGCTGTACAAACCTGTGACATTACTCACAGCATTCATTGTTCTATCTCTTTCTTTTCCTTTTTTGACAATCTTATCCTGTACTACCTACGCAGGATTCGTCAGCGTACATTCCTTCCTTCATATTCTTTCTCATTCTTTTTGCACAGCTATACTGTGCATAGCCTACTTTTCTTTTACTATATAAACCCCTGTATTTTACCTTGTAAAAATAACAAGAACTCCAATCCAGATTTCTTCTCTAATCTCAAGTTCACTACTCTCTGCTACTTGTGATCCAGTGTGGTCACAACACTTCCCACTGCTACCACTGTTAACTGCTGTCATCATCACTTCCCATTTTTGAAGTCATTGTCATCCCTTTTCGATTAGAGTCCTTCTGAGCACTACAGTTTGTGCGTCAGGAGCCTGCTATCACTGGGAACCTTGTCATATTGTCATTCTCAAACCTACCTTGTGCTATGATTAGCAAGGTAGTGCTCGTCTATACTCGTCACAAAGCCCCTATCTTTCTATAAATTCAACTATCCCTCCTCCTCAAAACCCACACTCATACACCTTTGGGTTTTTACTTTGAAGGATCTTTATACATACCACCCCACGAACAACCAGAGCACCCACTGCTCTAGGAGGCAAAGCCCATAAACAAGTTCCATGGAATCTGGGAGGATTGTGTGTTAGTTTGTTTTTTGTGTGTGGTTTTCTAACAACAGTTCTCATCATTGACAATGTTCCGACGTCCACTTAATGGTCAGGGGGCCTCCAGGCATCCCATTCTCATCAAATTTGTCGATATCATCAAGATCATCGTTGTAGTCGTCGGCAGGTTGAGTAGAGCGAGACATAGCGTGGGCGTAAAGAGACTAATAGCTATGTCTGGTCAGTTCGATAATACGCATCGGAATTTCAGGCGGAGTTAGCCCCATGAATTCTTTGGAAAAAATGAATTCATCTATACCCGACCCTTTCTGGTAATTATTTCAGCTTCAGACGCTTACAAATATCCACTTTTCTTTTTTTCAGGCTCCTGAAAATATTTCAGCGTTTACTTCGAACGACGCTATTAATATTGAGACCAGTCATGAAGGTTTTAATCATACTGTACACGACGTTGCACGGAAATTTGCTTTAGACATGAAAAATGTTGCCACGCATGACAATAAACTCCGCGGCACAGATCTGGATTTTTACCTCGTCCACTGGCCCACCGCGACCTTATCAATATTCACTAGCGCTCACTGGCGGCTACCTACTCTCAGAGGCCTTTTATTTGAATGATCTTCAGGTTCATGCTCAGCGATATGGTGCAATTCACAGCACTCTTAGGTATACACATGGTGAGTAGTTCGAATGTGCTTGCAGTATCGCCCATCATGCATCAAGATCGGCTTGGAAATTTAGATGTCAAAACAAGGCTAACTGTCTAATTACATACCTAATTCTGCATATTGGCGCTGGTTTCTTGATGTCAAGCATATGGTATCACAGCGTCAAGAGAAGCGCTCGCTGAGGCCGTGCGGACATATTTTGTTGTTCGCTTTGCTCATTCATTGTACGCATAACATGGAAAGCCGTTTCTCTTTATGATTAAAAGTCCGAATGTTCTATTCCATGGATTTGAAGTTGAAAGCTTATATACAGTAAGCCCAGGTGTGGAGTCCATTACCCTCTCATCGTACCCTAGCAAAATAATATTCATGTCTATCCCCGGAATGCCTACGTTTGGTGATGAGTGGTTCTTGCTCTCATCTACCTTTGGTGAGTCCAATCGCCATACATTTGATTTGATTATTGCTGAAGTCTGCTTTCCAGGAGCTGGTCTGGTTGGCTCGTGGATGGGTGTGTGCTTGTATGGGCTCACTACAACGCAGGTATGTTTTCTAGTTTATCTATCCTGCGCTCAGCTCATACCATGACAGATATATATATATTTCCTTCATTATCCGAAAGACAGCCCATGGCTTAAATCGCTGGTGGGCCAGACTCTATAGTTGGCCGAGGGTCATTTCTGATGATTATTCCAAATATGCGTTTAGGTTGCATTTCTCTGGTGTGTTCCATCTGTTATCATCCCTCCAAAAATCGCCAAATGAATTTGCATGCATCTTTATCTTTGCGCTTTAGGGCTGTCAACACAGCACATTCCATTTGCAGTGCGTACCCCCCACCCATCTTTATTGCAATTACTGACTCTGAGCTAACCGTTACATCCTAGTTTGCCATCTTTGTTATCATTATATGGTTTGTCTTCATCCATTCTCCGCTTCTCTGTCTTTTTCGTTCATCTGTTTTTACCCATTAGATAGTAGCGTTGCTGAGTCTGGATTTCAGCCTGCTTTATCGCAATGTTTGGTATGTCTCGCTTTTTCATTTATGATTTTTTCCATTTCTTTTTTACGTATCATCATACGTGCAGGTCGTTGTCTGTATGTAGTTTGTCATCTTCATGCTCATGCAAATACTAACGCCCACATACAGATGGCTATCCTCTTACGTGTCAGTTATACTTGCTGTAGTGCGCACCTGAACCATAGCTTATTTTTATCTTTATTTTCACTCAATTAAAGAGCGTGGTGTCCATCACTGTCATGCTGTAAGCAATATATTCTTACAATCTCAATAGCTTTCACTCACTTTGCCTTAGTTATTACGTGTCGATAGTCTTTCGCTGTATGTAGGATTACCAATCACACCTTCGATATACTTATGATTCCTATAGTAAACAGTGGGCGGGTACGATGGTGGTTGACAGCAGTCCTCGTAAGCATTTCCTTCCTATAGTTGAATTTGGGCTGACTGGCATCTAAAATAAGGTCATACCTATTGTTCTTTATTTTGGTAGGGGCACAGTGCGTTCGACTGGATATCACATCTGCTAATTGAATTCTTACTCCCAAAGCCTTCGCATTAGGTTTGGTTTCGACTTCTTGCGCTAAAAGATGTTTCTGACTGCCATCTACGTTGACCTGTATCCAGATGTTGTTGTGCGCATGTATGTGTTGTTTTTTTCCATCATATAGTTTTTGCAAACTTATATCGGAACAGGTTGTTATCACCAGATCTGACAGGAATCTTTGGATTTGTCGTAAGCCTATCTCACTTCATGTTTGTCAAACTTTATCTACTCTCGATTGCAGCATAGTACAATCCTACCCAGCATGATTGTGCAAGTCGTTGCAGATGGATTCATTGCAGCTTCCTTGTGCGTGGTTTTGTACACAAAACGAACCTCCTTCAAGCAGTAAACTCTGTTCTCTACTATGCACAAGGTGACAACTAACTAATTGAACAGGACCAGAAAAATCATTAACAACTTAATAATTTATACTGTCAGTAGAGGCTTGATAACATTGTGTGTCGCGAGCTTTTCTTTGTCTATTGGTAGCACATATAATGACTATTTTTTACTGGAGTGGCCGCACTCGTCATGGTCTTGGTGGTGTGTCTTCCACTCATTGCGTCATCTTCATATTTCGCTGATAACTTTGCTAAGCTCGCCATTCATCCAAACGAGATGTGGTATATTGGGGTTGAATTTGCTATCGTTGGGTTTTATACGAACTCCCTCATGACAATGTTGAATACACGACGTTCCTCTTCCGAAATCATAGAAACAACTCCGCCAAGCAGCCTCCAATTCCAAATGAGCTTCCCTAGTAGGAGAACTCGCAGTGGTGTTTGTGCCACAAACAAGGCTTCAGACGTCGAAATAATCTCACTTGGCGCAACAAGAACCGCCAGCTCCGATGATGAAAATCACAGGGTGAGTTATTGTCATTAATACCTGCCGGCCTGTTACTCACTCTGTACTTGTGGTGTTACAGGGGGTTGGAGTGATGTCGGTGGTGTGAGCACTGTCTCAACGTTCGTTTCGTAGTTGGTTAGTGAGAAAGTCTGTTGCGCTACTCTGTCCAGTCATTTTACTTTTTCCCTTTCTTATTCATTGATAACGTGTGCCATTCTTGCGACTTGTGCACGTTTCTTGACTTTTTGTTTATATTGCTAGAATTTGACATGCGTTGAAACAGTTTTAACAACATGATAACGAAGCCAAAAAGTGGGCAAGATGGGAACAAGCTCAGCTTGAAGAGAGAGAGAAAAGAGGACTCACACATGTTCATGTCTGCGATGATTACCCTAGCTACTCTCCATAGCTTGCTACAGGGATCTCAATGATGAATTGTAATAGAATGGACTGGTATAATCATTTAACAGTTGGACTCAGGAGGCATAATCTAAATGTCAATGTGTTCTAAAGCTATCCACACTTACAGTGATATTCTCTGTCATCCCAAAGCCTTGGATTCGGATGCATAGATCCGCTCAGAGAACCTTAAATAAAGAGGTAATCTGTCGTTATGAGTCCGAACCATCAGCTCGAGTCATGCTGTCCGTGGGACGAGAAGCCTGTTGAACGGCCTTGATATCAGCGGCCTCCTATGTCACTTCATTTCCAGCATTGCCACACAACGTGTGAATACTTGTACTTCGAGGACCCAATGTTTTCATATGAATATAATGTATACACATGATTGCAACAAAAGGTAGAATAAACTCGGGCTCCTTTTCTTGGACGCTGAGAAGACTTGGCGTGGATGAGCGAGTTGTCGGCCGCGGAACGATGTAGTAGCCCAAGAAATCTGTCCAAAGAGAGGGGAAGAACGAAGACCACTCTTAAAGGGGAAAAAAGAGAACTTGTTAAGCAAGACGCAACATTAATAGACAAGGTACGAGAAAGTGCTATGCATGTGTCTGGCGTGATTTTGTGGTCTGTTCTGTGATGATAGCCATGCAGTGCCAACATGTAGGATGAGAGGTATGGTATGGTGAGCGCTTTGGCAGTGAATGATATCGGCGGATCCAACTTGAAGTTCTCCGAGTCGGAGCCCAGTGTAGGTTTGATATATCTACAGACCAACAGAGAAAATCACAGAATGAAAGAGATAATCAGACTGGAAAACGACCGCTGACCTGTTTGATGAACAATATCCATGATACAAGCCCGGGCCGCTGTCAATAACTCTGAGAGCGTGGGAACATCATGATACGTCCTACGCATTCAGTAATTATGCTAACGTGAACTTGAATCTTGAACGCATGTCACGAGATCTTAGCATAACGGCGCTGCATCTAAGACCCTTATCGTTTCAGAGCCAAGGTGAGATCTGTCTATCAACCAGGTACTTATCATAGAGTAATCATTCACAACTCACACCCACAAATTTTACAAGATTTGAAGTTCAGCCAGTGTCAAAAGTTCATCAAAGGGAGCTGAACATAAACACTGTATTAGTCTAGAGTCAGAGCGCAATGGGTCGTTTGATCCGGACATCCAGGGATTTCAGGAAGTTCATCAGCACCGGCTCTTCATATAAGTACTGTAATATTCAGACACTCTGTGCACGCCCAACACTCATGGATACTACATGCATTCCAGCAGAACTTGTAGCGACTCTAACCTCGTTGGTGCAGGCATATGGTAAATCTCACCGTTATCAATATTACAATTGTTTCATTCCTTGTTTAGCACCTGTACTGGTTGGCTCATGGTTCTCAATGGGCCTGTACGGGCTTACAACAACGCAGGTACGTTTACAACCCTCACAAATATTATTAGCTCTCAATCCTTCCCTACAGGCATATCTGTATTGGTTCAACTATCCAAAAGATAGCTGGTGGACCAAGTTACTGGTATGTTAGCCTTCATACGCACCGTAGCATACGAGCTTACAGCATTATCTCTATGCTTAGGTCTTATTTCTCTGGTATGTCATTATTGTTGTTGCAATCAAAATTTTAATATTTATTACAACTGCTCTTGTGCCAGGGTGCTGAACACAGCACACACCGTTGGCGGTGCGGATATTGCTTGCATTGCCTTAGGCTTCTGACCTAACGTTCATATGTCAGTGTGTCACAATTGTTATTATCACCTAGTTTGTTTTCATTCTCTCCATGAATTCACCCATTAAGCTGTGTGTCGAGCAGATAACAGCGATGTTCAATCTCGAAATGTTATTGCGTAATGTATGGTACGTCTTTATCCATTGGCAATCACTCCCTAAGCATGACCTTTGATATAATTTTCTCAGGTCATTAGGCGTACGCACTCTTTTGCGGTGACATGTACGCTCATTGATGATAATATCAATACAGATGACAGTAGTTATCTGGGTCAGTCGTATGATACAATCTGCAGACCATTGCTAACCAGCATGTTTCTAAATATTCAAGATCATCGTATTTGCCACTGTGATGTCGTGAGCACTATCATTGTAATCTCCCATACGTATGTGTCATGTTCTTATAGGTATTACATCAAGATGATCTTCCAACGTGCGGTTTGTCATTTTTCAACAAGTTCCACCACCTTATACCTTTGATAGTGAGCAGCGCCCGATTCCGTTGGTGGTTGACAGGGGCCATGGTCAGTATCACCATTCATCAAAGAGTTGAGCTGACATTTGTTTCCATGAAGACAATCCCCTTTGTGCTTGCTCTCGGTGAGGGGAAGTTCCTTCCATTCAAGGCTGTTTTGTACTAATGAGGTGTTTGTAACAAAGGTTTTGGACTAGGTTGGTACCCAGATTTATGCAACTTATGGATTTTAGCTCACCGTTTCACTCGGTTGTTCAGACGCTGCTGTGCGCATGTACGTTTCACTTTCTTGGTCCAAACGCATATGATTTATCACTTTCGCAGGTTCTTGGCGGCGAATGTCGAGGTTCTACTACAATTCAGTGTAAGGCCGCTTCTACAAAAGTTCGTATGGAGATACATGATGACATTGCAAACAGCAAAACACAATCCTACCTGCCTTCATAATGCTTGTGATTACAGACAGTTTTGTCACAGGTTTCTTATGTATTCTTTTATACCGCAAGCGAACAGAATTCAAGCGGTTTGTATTTCTTTGGTTTCCTGAAGTTATCAAGCTGACCACCAAACAGGACACGTCACATCGTCAACACCTTAATAATTTATGCTGCCAGTAGGGGTTTGGTGTCAACGTGCGTTGCCAAGTCTTGATGATATTATACAGAATAACAGATTGTCACCAGAGCAACGTCTCTTACGATGGCCCTTGTGGTATGGCTTTCACCCAATTATACAGCCCTTTCCTAATAGTTATGACAAGCTCGCTATCCGCCCCAGCACTATATGGTACTCTGCTGCCGAATTTGCTATAGTCGGGATTTATACGAACTCTCTCATGACAATGTTAAACACCCGGCGCACCGTATACGAAGTTGCGGACACTGGAAGGTCGCCTGCAGACAGTATGAACAAGGAATCCCACTTTGGCTTAACTGGCCGCCGGAGAAATCAGAATGGAGTATCCATTGCCAACAAGGCGCCAAATGTTGAGTTTATTGAACTTGGTGAGAGAGGGACTAACTACAAAGATGTTAATCAGGTAGCGTGTATTGATTATCATGTTTGCTTACAAGTTTTGACGTTGACATTGCAGCACGAAGAAGACAAACCAGCGGTATGAAAGAACCCTGCGTAATTTCTTAGCTTTCAAGACCATATTATATAGTGGTTCCTACTGAATCTTGTATCTGTATTCTATGTTCATTCAACATTATGCTATGCTTATATTTTGACTTGCACCGCATTTCACATACCAGTCGCAGAGCTATACTATGGCGTGGTGGCGTGGCCTTCACCAGTTGAAAGCATAGCATGTTGAAGAATTCAGAAAAGTGATTGGTGCACCCTGGCAGGCTTTTATGGTCGATGGACTCTGTTTTCCCGGGAGTTAGATGCAGAACTCGAAATGTGAGATATTTTACTGAGAACAATATATTGCATGATCTAAAAGGCAGATGAGGTATATTTTAGTTGTTCGAATCACAACGTTTTTACCAAGCACACGCTAGGAGATGTCTATCGGGCATGGTTGCGAGAACTCGTAGAAGTAAGTTGGTTCCAAAAGTTCTTAAGACACTATTCAACTGCTTCCAAGACTGAAACTGAATTGCAAAACCCGATCCCAACCATGATCAGACGACAGGAGTGCCATCAGGTTGCAGAGAGACGATAGAGCCAGTGAGGGGTGAAGATGTTCTCGTGATGTATGACCTCACTGAATATGCTCCTGGTGATGGATACCGTGGTCCCCCTCGTTCCACAGGTGCCTCTGTCATTACGGTCGAATATGTCGAAGAGCGTGAAGGCCAATACATGTGCTCCCTGTGCGGCAGCATTTCTGATGACTCCATACCTCCACTTTCGTCCCTGTCTGGTACCCTGATTGGCTTAGCATCCTTTTTACGTTTGTACAACACAAAGCCGGCGATGCCAGCAGCTACGAGGATGGCCATGCCGCCAACGACACCACCGATAATGGGCCCGACTAACGATGGTTTCCTGGCACTAGAAGCTCCAGGTGTAAGATCAGGACCTAATATATCAGAGTCATTTTCGTTATCCTGATGTAAATTTAACATACAAGAGATAGCTTACGCTGATGTGCCAGGGTTTGCGCCTGGTCTACGTCGAACATTGCACTGGACCATTCATTGGCTAATACCATGATATCAATGAAATGTCTTCCGCTAATAGTAAGGTCTCAAATGCTCACGGTTCGTAGCAGCCCAGTAAGGTATGGAAGTGTTACTGGATAATGTATAGCCAGAGGGGAAAACCCTGATTTCAAGGGTAGAATAATCAACTTGCCGGAGGAAATTAGTCAGGGAAAGAGGTAGACTAACGAGTTTGACTCAGATGAAGGGCATTCTGCGCTGTAGCCTTCCCAGCTACGAAGTATTACTTAGACACGAGTTAAAGGAAAGGTTCTTTTATATTACGAACGTTAATATCGAAGAGTTCATGCCTTGACATGCTGTACAAGCGCTCAACAGGTTGTACGACGACCACGAGCTAATTATAAGATCCTGTCAGTCCAACACTCTACATCGTGAATCTGTCAGTGAGACTAACCACGAACATACATTCACTGTGCTGATAGTTGCATTAGGTGGATCATAGTGGCTATCAGGTTGCAAAGGAGGAATATTCCAAACTAAAATGAATAGCATCAGAACATTAATATTGGAACGATAGCCTCCAGCCTCAGAGAAACTTGCCTCCCTCTGTACATGCTCCTTCGATGTAAGCGACCACCATACATGGCGATTGCCCTTTTTCATTGTTCATCCACGAAAAGCTGGAGGAACATATCACACCCGTCACAGCTGCAAACTCACTGCGCCGTCTATGATCTACCTGGATTGTCCCATCGCGACCTTGACCTAGACCTTCAACTGGGATTATAAAATATCCAAAAAATCCAAGCAATATACTGGCGATGGTCAAGAGCTGATTTTTGGTTTTGTTCATGATAGGACCAGTAACTAGTGCAAGGATATGATCGAGAAAGGAATGAACACGAAAGTGACAGCACTAAGAGGTCATGGAAAGCGTCAGAAGCATTCGAGGGAACAACAGCTCAGTATAGCTTTGCAGCGCCAGTAAGTAGGCACTGACTGCATGTCTGGCCAATGGCAAGTACTATCGGTTCGGGGAGATCCGAGGAACGATATGATGACTTCTTCAAAGTTCCTGAGGATTCTGAAGCGATAAACGGCAGATGACAGTCCACGTGAAGCCATCTTGACGCTGAGAGCATGAACAGGATAGGCTTGTTCGGATGAGACGTTTGATGAGATGTTGTTGGACGTCTGATATGGCCAAGACATTTGTGTATTTTAAGCAACGGTCTCACCAATGTGTGGAAGAGCCGCGGTGTTACCATCTGCGTGAGGTTATTATTCAAGTATAACAAATGCATGTTTTCCAGGGAGGTGCATGACTTCAATTGATGCGTATCTGGGTGAAGGGTCATAGGATTAAGCTAGGCAAATTCAATGGAGTGACGTTGTCATTTGAGCTCGCGATGTTTACTGTAAATTACTTACTGCCTTCATTCAAGTATACAGGTCGATAGGGCATACATGACAAGGTCGCATTTCAATTTAAACCCAAGTTCGTTGTCGTCGGATCCTGCATGAGATAATGCGAAGCAGTTGGAGTTGGACCAATTAAAAAACTAGACCAAACAGGACGAGACAACGGAGAATGTGATGTGAAGCCCCAAAACCACGGCTTCATGTTTTCAGATCCCATGTAGCCAACATGCGAAACGTATTATTCTTTTGTTTGCGTGTCCTGCAGTGTCAATGGGGTTTGGGAGTCCGAGCCGCTGTGCTTGAACCTGGCTCAGCAGTTCAGGCAGAGACTTCGACAGCCACTGACACCGCGACGGCGTGAACTGTGCTTGGGGACGTGAACTTGTCCGCTGGTCCAGAGCTATGTCGTGGAGGCAACTTGGCGGACAAACCGACTTAAATGGCCTTTCGTCGAACTCAGAGGCCTCGAGGAACGGAATTTGCTGCGGATACCTTGCCGCGTGGTACCTGTTCGTTCCGAGGGCAGTTCCTCGCTCTAAAATAGCTGATGTTTTCCAGTCAAACTATTCGCCCGGTAAAGCTCAGAACCGGGATTGATCATGTAAGTCGTCTTATCAGTCGCTGATTCGCTATTCCAGAGGCTCATGATACATAGAGCCTGTTCGGCCCGATCAATTGATTCCACGCAATGATCTTTGCCCCTGCCCCTGCGCCTGGATGCATACATGCCAACGGTGGTAGCTTTTGCTCTCAGTCTCGCTCTCAGTACTTAGTTCTGCACCCTGTGTAGAAATAAGAAAGATAGTGAGTCACTCCTCAGGTGAATCAAGTCACTTTTATTCGTCTTTCTATTTGTTCTCAAGTACGACATCCTGAATCTGTTAGGCTTGTGATTACAACTATGGCGACAGCACCACCCGGTAAGTACTTCTAGGACTCAATAATCTACCCCGTGTTCTCTACTCAGTCAAATTTTGACCCAGCAATCGCTCCGCTGAGGGAACCTTATCACTATGTCCCCACAGAATACGTCTGCGCCATTGTGAGTGGGTCTTTACAGCCATAACTGTTTTTCGGTGTAAACTGAATACAAGAAAGTTCGTTGTACTGTACAGCATTTCCACGCGTAAGCTAGCTCTCTGACCTTCCCCGACTCTTCACTCATTGAAGGAGATCATATTACACAGTGGTACATCTATTTCAGTGTATCAGAGCTAGACTCTGGTGGTTATTACCAACAGCTGTTTTTGCTGGCGTGGCTGAGATTCTTGGATGGAGCGCCAGGCTGTGGTCGAGCAAAAACCCCCACATTCTTATCCCGTATGAAATCCAGTAAGCTATATCCACTAGAAATTGGAAAACATAGTGTCATATTGAACTTTTAGACTTACGGCGACTATACTCGCCCCAACGCCGCTCGTTGCTGCCAACTTTATTATTCTCGGAAAAATCATAGGTCGTCTCGGTTCCCGCTACAGTCGTCTCTCTCCCAAACTATGTAAGTACAAGGTTCTATTCACTTAGAATGATAAACGAAGCCCAAACACTTGACCTTCTAAAGATACCTTCGTGTTCTGCTCCTTTGTAAGTGCTTCAGTGGTCAGAGAGAATATATCTTACACTAGCCTTCTTTAGGATGTAATCTGTCTTATAGTCCAAGCCGTCGGAGGAGCATCAGCTGCCACGGCTGTGGGTAAGCAGCAAAGCCCTAATAATGTCAGTATGCTTTCGTTCTTTCGTAATATTAGGCGAAGCTTAACTTTCGTAGGGTGGTAACATTATGCTCGGAGGTATCGTAGCACAGATGAGTGCGTTATATATTACTGCTGCAGAACTGCGGGAACTACAACTGATTGACTGTATCCCATTTTCCAGTATCTATCACGGTATATGTAGCCTGTGCTGGGGAGTTTTTCCTAAGATACTTTTCGGATTCTCCTCTTCGCAGAGTTTTCCCAGTCGACTCTCCTAACAATGCAGGGGGAAATGTTATTGATCCGAACATGAAATTGATGATAATGGCCCTAATATTCGAAACTACCTGCATATTCATCAGGTGAGCCTCAAGGAACTGCGAAGTATTTTATTCCAACCATCACCCTCCCCCGCTTTAGATCGGTTTATCGTACAATTGAGTTAGCTAATGGGTTTACTGGGAGGATCATATCTACTCAGGTTTACTTCAGTGCGTCCCAAATTTCATCTCTATCAGTGGATTTGAGGCTCAGATGCTTATGCTTTCATCAATTGTCTTTTAGATGTGCTTGATGGTGCTATGATAACTCTGGCTATCTTTACTCTTAACATCGCACATCCAGCGGTCCTCTTGAAAAATCCTCGTGTTCCTAATAAAACTATTGTAGACCAAGGACAAGAATCGGACTTGGAAGGGAAACTTGAGCCGAATGCAATGTAGATCACCAAATGCCTAGAAGATTCAGAGTTTAACGTTTAACAGTCATTTCCTGCATGCTACAATGTCTGACATTTACAATCCTGTTTTCGAGTTCTCAATTTTTGCTATGGACTAGTATTGGTCAGTTTCAGTACTGTAATGTGAAAAATCTTGTCTTTTTCCGCATATGGCACAAGGACCAACTTGAAAGAATCCGTGATCATAGTCGCGTCAAGTTGAAAAGCCGAAGCGCTTTTTCTGTTGCACCTTCATCCAAGTCCCAATTATGTCTCGCCTTACCATCATCGTCGCAGCTACAAAAAACAATGGCATTGGTAAAAGCGGCACTTTGCCATGGCGCTTGAGAAAAGATATGGCGTATTTTGCTCGTGTCACTTCAAATGCCCCAGATGATCAAATGAACGCAGTGGTCATGGGTAGAAATACATGGGAGAGTATACCCGCCAAATTCAGGCCTCTTCCTAAACGGATCAATGTTGTTATAAGTCGGAAAGCAGACTACAAATTGTACGTGGAGATGGCTCAGACATCCAGCCTCGCGTCATTGATCGCCAATCCAGAGCACAACCAGATTCACCGTCGTCTGAAACTCAGCTCCTGTGCTCAGGATATGACGATGCCTATCATCGACTATCGAAGACAGAAAACATTCATCGGACGTTCATTATAGGAGGAGCGTCTCTTTACCAAGAATCCTTAACAGGAACTTCGTTGGGATTAGTAGATCGTATTCTGCTCACGCGAATCACAAATCCAGCATTTGATGATTGCGATGTGTTCATGCCAGATTTTCTAGCGGAAACGGATAGCAAACAAAGCGATTGGGTGGTAGCATCCCATGAAGATTTGGAGAAATGGGTGGGATTCGAAGTACCAGCTGGAATTCAAGAAGAGAATGGGATAAGCTACGAGTTTCAGATGTGGCTGCGTGAAGTGTAGTTTATCAGAATTGCACAATTGGGATCCATCATCATCGGCAGATACACTCTGAGGACAGTATATTGCCTTATAGACATAGGCATGCTTGCTCTTCCACGTAGATGTCGACTAATTATAATGCGAGTAAGTTTTGTGAGTTGAGGTTGTCCGAGTCAAACCGGCTATCCTTGCCGCTGTTGTATATATGAGGAAAGGCGGCGAGGAGGAGTGTAGGACAAGAAATACCTGTTTGTGCTTTGGGTTTTTGGAACATAACACATAAACTCTTCCTTTCCTCCTTACAATACTACAACCGTCGCACATGACCTTTACCGATGACCGTACTTTCATCCCTCGTGTCAAAGGTGGGTTCTGCGAAAGAGGTGCGACGAGGTGAGCATGAGAATGATGGTGCAACGAAGGCAGAGGATTTGAGCGAAAACGGGAGAGCAGAGGTCTGCTGGTGATTAGCAGAGCGCGCAGCATGGTGGTGGATTTCAAACAGTGACTTGAGATTTTCACAGTCAACTGGTTTACCATGTGGTTTACATAAGCCACTCTCTTTCCTCGGAACTACTAGTAGCACCACTTCTCACCTGAATCGGACTTGCAGGCATTCTGAATCCACCTTCATGGCTACACATACGACCATTCCAGGTATTATCATGATCTAAGCTGAAATTCGGATCCGCTACAGCCCTCTACTGCCACCACTTTACAAGAAGTGGGTAGTAGGATGTAGATTTCTGCGGCGAGTCGAAATTCGAGGAACGAAGAACAGAAAGAGACAGGACACGTTGCAAGTTACCGGTGCTGGCCATGGCATATGTGGCCAAATCAGGTGGGCAGACATGTGTTCTTGGGGGAATAATTGACAGGAAATTCGGGTGCGTGCGGCAACATCATGCTTCGATGTCTTCAACAGTGCTAAATCTATACATCACTTATCAGACGCCTCGCAGTAAAGACGGACATTGAGTTCATTCAGGACCCTCTTTAGACATCTTCTCGAAGCTATTTGTGTAAGTGTACCCCACTCAGCCGGACTGGGCCACGGTTATACCGTGTCTGTACCAGTGATAACTCCCATCTGGATGAATGAGTGATGTTAACGGCGCTCGGTTGCAGCTAAAGCTTTCGCGCGAGTGGCTCAGCGTCTGGGTGTTTTTGTATCCGCAGCAGTGACCAGATAATCTCTCAGGTCTTTCCCTCCCTACGACCTGGATATAATCACCATCTTGCCCATTTAGAGCCACTCTATCCACGTTTCTTCGGAATTCAACGTATCTGGAGAGCAACGGGAATGGCTATACAATGCGCTTTTCATTTGCGTGTGTGGCCATTCTACGTCTTTCTTTTTATTGATAACGCTCGAGCCCTGGCAATTTTAAAAGAAGGTATTGCGGTTGCGAAAGAAGGTTAGTACTCGAGTTCCGAAAGCGTTATTACATTGATCAGCCCTTGTACTCATTTACGAGCAAAGATTGCTGACCACACACCTGTGCAGATACTCCCGCAGAGAGAATTGCCCTCGATTCGAACCCACTTTCCTCCAGCACGAGCACAAAGCCGCCCGTTGGCACTATTGTAGGAGGAACAGTAGGCGGTGTTGTTGCAGTCCTGATCATAGGGGCAGTGGCGCTGTATTTCATTATTCGGCGGAGCAGACGTCGTAAACTTGAATTTTCGGGGAAAACAACCCAACAAGCACCTAAAGTCTCTCATGTACCGCTTAAAAGACCTCAGGGAGCGCATGTTCACTCTAATGGGCACCTTCGCACAATATCCGCTGGCATGAATGGTGTCCATGCGCAACAAAATCCCATCCCTCTCTCAGTCATGTCACCCACTCTCACTTCGCCATATTCTCCTGGACCATTGTCCTCGGGTGTACGCACGAGCTCACCGGTTGGCAGCACCCATTCTCTAACAAACACGCAACTGGCGTCTTCTCGCGGTCATGCTTCACCCGTCTGTGTACCTGCCACCATACATCCTGCAGACATTATAACGCCTTTCTTGGGCGGCGTACTCACACCACCCTCTCATGGTACTCAAGAGCACGACAATGCCAAATTGGGGCCGTCTCCATCTTCGAGGAGCCGAATGAACCCACCTGCATATTCGGATGTGCCCCCTTCCGACGCTAGTCCTGTTTCCACATCCCAAACTAGCCATTTACCTCGTTCACGTTTTAGCCTTAGGAGAGCAGGGAAGGGCTCTATTTCGAAACGTTCCATCAACACTGCGCGCTCAATCGAGACTGTCATCAGCGATGCGAGTGGAAGTCACAGCAGAGGACCTTCCGGTGACAGCACGAATAATGGTATGGGAGATGGAAGACAACGTGTTAGGTCGACGGTGGAGCGGCGTCATGATCGCAGACATCAGCCTGCTGTATGAGTTGGATGGAGTATATCGCGATTATAAGAGGGTCCCTGAGAAAGACCCTTTAGGCGTGTCTCTGTAGCATTTTCTGTACATTATATTTTTTTATCCCAGTTTTCTGGGTTTCCTGTGACCTTATGTAGTGCGTTTTTTGATGTTTATAACGAGAGTGAATTGACGGCGGATAGCGGACAAGATTCCTGACGATGGACAAAATTTTCTATCTTTTCCCTCAGCGACCATTTGACCTTGTAATACCAGCGCTGCGCTCCGAATTCGTTATGAGACCCGCAAATACTAAGAAAGTGCAACATAATATTGTATGAACGTTACATACTATCGAACTCTTCTGCTGTGCTAATATAAAATGGACTCTGCAGAGTTCTTCATAGACCATATGTAAGGTATACTAGAATATATATGCGTGTTCGAGAGAAGATAAGATAAGAAATTGGTGTGACTTCTGCCTACCAAGTTCATAGTACCAATCAAACACTAATCGAGCTCGACACTTGAATACAGAAAATAGTCAAGTAAGGGATAAACGTGTTTGCTTCGTGACATCTGACCAGCGAGCGTACAACTCCTCCTTTTCAAGACCAAGATACCAAACCCTTAGCTTCGGGAATAGGAGCAGCAAGAACGGCGTAACTTCACTCTGATCATCAATCTGAGAACCTTGGGAAAGTACAAGCCTCATTATGCCTTTCGAAACTTCGACTGGATCGAGTGGGTTTCGAGGAATGACATAATCGGGAATATCTCTGGCGTCAAGTTTGAATTGCAGAAGAGATAGTTTTGGGCAACCTGCGGCCAGCGCAGCAAGACCTGTCAAAGATAGGTTTGATGGGTCTTGTTTCTGGAGAGGATTTTGAATAGCAAGCTGCTCGAGGTCGGGCCATGCTTTGGCCATTTTGCTCGCCAAATCGTCGTTCAAGACGATGCCTATGTTTAGGAAACACACCGATCGGAGCTTCGAGAATACGGTAAGAAGCTGAGTTGTGGAAGGTGGTATATCATGGACTGTATCTTCTTTTGCATGGAGAGTGACAGATCGTAGAGACGAAAGCCAGGGAGTGTTACATCGGAAGGTCATGAAGAGTATGTGCAAAGAAAAAGCTGTCAGTGGCCCGCGGATATTGATGTTAATCGTTTCCAGATCGCTGGAGCCGATATTTTCGATCAAAGGGAACGCATACTCGGCACAATTGACAGTGAGGCCGAACTTGCGTAGAGAAGGAAAGAGATCTTGTTGTGAGTTTTTGGGAAGGGCAGTAATATCTGGTTTTCCCTCCAAAAAATCGATCTCTAGAGTGTGAAGGTGGCGTAGCGATCCCAGTCTGTCCGTGAAATTGAACATGGAAAATAGCGAAGAACGTTCTATGAGAGTGAGCCTATGAGATCACCTAGATTATACTAGTGGAGACGGATGCGTTACCAAGGCCCAGATAGAACATACTCGTACGCGGACATTGTAGGCAGATATCTGCCATCATTACATCGACTTCTTCTCGCATGATGTCGGAATGGATATCGAGGGTGATTTGAGCCAAATTCTTGTTTAATAGCCTGACCAGACAAGGTACGAAAGTCGCATCGTACTCGTACCACCAGGGAGATATAAACGCGGTGGCATATGACAGCTGAGTAACGTTTGGAAGGAGGGACATTGGGCACGTGTCCAGCAGCCTTAAAAGAGTCTTGGACTGAATCATACAGCGGTCTGATTCACGGGGAGGACCGTGTTCGAATATTTTAATGCGCCGTGCATAGGGCCGCACGCTAACCCAATCTTCACGGACAATATCCCTCGTCAGAGCCTATACAATAGAAGCTAGGTTATGCATGAGGGACACCTGACTCAGAAACGTGGCAAATCATACCCATGCCTCACGAAAATTCTCGTATTTGGTACCCCAACATAGAATCCAGAGATCTTGGGGTAGACATTTGAGAAGAGGTATCAGAGACGTCTGTTTTCGCCAGAGAATGTCGAGCGCTGGTTCGGAGAACACGCGACAAGTCCTTGCAAGAACGGCTAGGGTTGAAGATCCGTACTTTGCGGCGAAGGCATGCTCGAATATTTCCTCCAATATTTCTGTGATGCAGAGGCAGGAGTGCATGACGAGGGCACACGATCCGTGGGTGAGTGTTGGTGGGGACGATATGGCTTTGGCTGGGAACACGCCTTTTATCCGTGCTTTAATAAGTGCAGACGAGCTCCAAAATCAAGAGAAGGTGGACAACGTTGGCAGGATGCATGTTCCTGCCAATCGTGTCCGCCATCGCCCAATCGATCAGCCTTTTTATGCATGGCGATAATCATATCTTAGCCTGATTCGCATTTCGCACAGCACATTCTGGCCTTTTCCAGGTTCGTGACAGATTGATGATATGCTGGACACGAGGACATGGCCTGCCAGGGTAAAGAAATTAAGAATCCAAAACACACCTTTGCTGCTAGTGATGTCGGCTACTTCCGGCCTGTTTACGATAAGTATCTCCTTCCTCTTCTATTCCTTTCACTGACAGATAGGCTCCATCTTCTCCAGTTTCGTGCCAATTTTACTTTCACACCTATCATACTCTTATACATGACCTCTGACAGAGCACCCTCCTCCATGAAACCTTTCGCTCGCAGAGCAAATATTTTTTGTAGCCGATTTTTTCGTAATCAAATCCTAGGACCTCTTATGCGAGTTAGACAATGGGACTACTTACGTGGCCCTGATAACACATGTAACTGGAACACTAGGTCGTTTCCTCGCTTTCTGATGCGTGTTATCAATTACCTCTGCATGTCATTAGGCGCATCAATTATAGTATCATAAACTTCGCAGGGTGGTTCGGTATAGTACGACACATAACGCTATTGCAGTTCCTTTGTTGCAAGTCCGACCTTTTTGCATTCTGCAAAAGTCGCACTTTGGTATCCTTGTTGTCATGTGAGGCTCATTCACTATCTCTGCATGCCACTTATCATGTCCCGAACACATCGCATGTCTAAATAAAGGTACAATTTCAGAAGATCGTCCTGGCGTCGTACAGGCTACTTGATGTTTCGAGTTTCAATGCCTTGAAGAGCAAGCTGATTTCCGTTTACACGAGACTCCCAGCCGGATATTTCAGTACGATGCCTAAATCCCATTAATGTTACACTTCCGAATCTCGAAGCGTCACTGTAGTTGTTTCAAGTTGCCATCAGTGGCGTTCGACAATATCGATACAATACCACCAACTGGCACAGAAGTATCGTGGAGCCTCGATTAATTCAAAGTCACATTCGATCTAGTGATCTGATAAGGATGTCTAAAAGTCATCAGTGACTTAAGATCTGCCTGTGCTTTCAAAACTTTTTTGTGCGCGCGGTCGTCAGCCTAGATTTGATTTCATGGATAGACATGGCTGAGTAATTCCCAAGGTCCTAACAGTGGAAATATGACGCGTAAATACCGCAAGGTAGGTTGGTAATACATAAGGGCAAGACCTACAAACTTCGGGCGCGTATGGGCTCAAAGATATAAGCTGTGTCTACTCAGACCTACTTATAAGTGCAACACTGTTCCTTTTCCAAACATGATCATTTTTCACACCCTTCATAGAACTTACAATATAGATATATTTTGAGACACGATATCTCCATGTTTCTCTTGATTTTGATTGAGATCAGTGTTGAAGGTGCAAGCTCAATCAGAAATGTGGCTGAGAGTGGCTGAGCGAGTCGTATTCACATGTTTGAGTGAAATTTTACATTGGAAAAATGTCTTTTTTTATTATATGTAGTGAAGCAAGTAGCAACGAGACACCTCAGAGATTCCAGTGAACTCTGAGCTGAGATACTATACTGTGTTCTTATATTACCTAGCTGACTTGTTACTCCGGTAGCTAACTTGTAAATTGAATTAGGTATTGTTTAATACAGAGATTCTAATGAACTCTGAGCTAACTTGTAAATTGGATCGTAACCTCTGAAAATCAGTCTAATAGGAACTATAGTATATCAGTTGGATGTTCCAGTTTATGCTGAGCATTGCTGCTGTTTATATTCCTGGACCCGTAGGATCCAGGTTTTCAGCATCAGGAAAAAGCGATATCATGATGTACTTCTATGTAGCACATGTAGACACTGTATCTGTGTTCTCTTCCCCCTCTTACATAGCACTATGTAATATCAACAGAAATCTGTACATCTACAGCCTTGTACAGATATCAATGTAATACCAATATTATATTGTAAAGCTATGTATTTGTAGTGCAGTAGCAGGATGTACTTCTACATATCAGCTGTAGTTTCACAACCAACCACAAAATCATTAATAATAACAAATATTTATATTTGACAGCCAGAAAATGGTGCATGAGACATAAATTTGATATCATTAAACAGAGGCTCATTATCTACTGCAAAAGAGCATCATTCTCCCCACATCTAGTGATGCTGTTATCATCCTCATCACTACCTAAATCCTCCTCTTCTGTGGCACTTTCTTCAAGATATTCTTGTAATGTGGCTCCAAAATGAATGGCCTTCAAGGCCAGACTTGTGTGACAACGGAGAGATTTGGCACCTGCATAAAAACTAGCAAACATTAGCTTACATGTAACCTGTAAAACTGAAATACATTACCAACCAGCATCATGCCATTGCTGATGCATCCTTCCGGTAACATTATATTCAGCTGTGCCAAGCACACTAGGTGGCTGTGAAAGACTTTGGCATAGCAGCTGCAAAAGTCACTCCTTCCTGAACTCCGGTTGCCCACTCATCAATTGCACATTCAATCTAGTATGCAAAAATGAGCCGCTGATTAGTGAGAATCAGAGCCACTATCTCCAAAGAGATGGGGTTGAAGTACTCATGGTACAGAGCCCCTTTATCATTCCGGTTTGCAAACCACATGTCATCTATCAGTGTCTGTATGTTTCTGGCCTTATATAAACCTTTCTTGCCCATCAGATCCTATGAAACTGCATGAGTAAGATAATATAATCACCAGAATAAAAACCTACTAGTACCTTGTAAACAAACAAGATATTTTCCTTGAGGTCAATACCCGGTGCCAATTCTGTGTGATGATCTTTGGATATGAGCTTGCATAAAACCCATAGTATAGTAAGTCCACGGACTTTGGTATGCCGCTCCCCATGTACATGAGAAGTTCTCTTAGTCAGCTGAAATGTCAAGGAACAAGTCAGTCTATTATTGTGTGAATGGAAGACCACTTACGATTTTCATGATGTCTGGCATTAGAGCCAGGTTCAGGCTGGCTCTAACATTGGCTTTCATGTGAAGGCCCTGATTTCTGCTTGGAGTCCCTATGTTCAAGAGAGGACTCAGAACATCCTGCTGCATGACAGGCAGTTTTGTTTTTACGCAAGCAGAGTGCTTGCTCACCACCATCCTGTTATCAAACTGATTGACTTGTCAGACTCTGTAGACATGATAGACATACTCAAGGAACTAAATGCACCATGATGTCTTCATGGTCATCAACATCACTGTGTTCAAGTCTGTCAACATCCACAGGCAATTACTGTAATGCCCTGTACTGGAGCGGAGTAACATCCAGGTTCTCCACATCCATCTGCCTGTTGATTTGCCAGGTGGTCTTTTCAGCCTTCTTGGTCTTCATGGCTTTTTTCTGCAACTTCTCCAAAGCCTCTCCAGTTCCAATTTGTAGTAGTGTCAGTACATGTGGTAACCCTTATTCAAAAGAATCACATACCTCTTTGATTTTCTTTTTCCATTGGCCACTTGAGAACTAAACAGGCTGAGATGACTCAGACATTGAGATGGGTACTAGTGGTGAGATGGGAGAGGAAGTCCTTGTCAAAATTTGGGAGTTAGGATTTGAGCTGATGGGCTATTATATTTTAAGTTTTGATAGAAAAAATTATGGTGATGCAATAGGAGTGCCGAAGCATTTGGGACTCCTATAACTGGCCAGGTCCAAATCTGCAAGTGATCCTAGTAGGTTTTATCAGAGATGGGACAAAAAATAGACTTAGTACAATTTCCCCTCGCTAGATAATTGTCCACATAGAACTCCGTACCTACATTACAAGTTACTCCTTACAAAATCTATTCCCTCTGGTAGTATATAAGTTATAATTCATGTACTCCATCCTACCAGTTCAAATATGAGCAAGTTCCCTACACCTTTTGTAACAACCACGAGTTTGTATACTCTGGCACACAACTCAGACAAGGCTATAAAGAAGTGAGGGGAGTGGTTACCCTTTAGATAGGACCGAGTTAGTTGTGGGAAAACAACAGGAGGACTCGCTGAGGAGTCTCCTTGATCTATTGGGGTATATATACTACTACAGTTTGTTTGTACATGTGTACTGTACAGTTGATGGAGGTAGTGGCTGATGATGTCATGGGGCACAGCCCGTGTGACCAGCTCCACTGTGTGAGAAACTTGTATTTAACAATGGAAAAGGCAGCGCAGCGCGAGAAGTGGAGTTTGAACAAGAATGGAAAGTGCTGCATGGCACAGTGGTGTAAAAACTACAAAAGAAAGTTGAAGAGGAGAATGAGAATTAAAGGTCCGAAAATTGTGTTATTGTAACACCTTTTTACTCATCTCGTGCTTTATCCTCTACCCTTCCCTCGTTCATTCAGTTGAGTTAGGGACCAGGGCCTGTGGAAGGGCCTAGTGCCAAGTCCCAATCTTGTACTCTGTTCCGCTCCCACCATGCACCTCTGTCCTCCAAACTCCAACAATTCTGAAGGTCGGTTCTAACAGTGGCACAGATCTGACAATCTCCAACAACTCTGGCAACTCCGAAGAATTCTGATACTTATTAATTGTGAGGCAACAATAAACTATAACAAAAAACGAAACCTGTCTCCTTCTGCTCTTGCAGGGAGTAAGGGGTTCAATGAGCTTTGAGGTCGACAGACGCTAGTAAATATAGCGAGTAGAGGATCTTGGGAGGTAAGCTCAAGGGTTTTCGGTTGAGGAGTAAAGCGGGTAAATTCAGTAATAGAAAACTAAGGAACTATACATGAATAGGTAAGTCTTTATATAGTGAACTGTTCCTTCCTCAGACTGAAAGGAGAATATACGAAAAGTAGTCTGAGGAATCAATCGGCCAATAAGAAAAAGAGAGAACAACTATCGTACAACTTTTAACTTGATTAATCAGCGGGTGAGAGACTTGTACTAATAATAGAGGTTTGTTACGCGTGTTCAGGAACCGTATCCTCACGATGAGGTATGATCCTGAACAAGGTGTTTATTAGTATATCCAGGCTTTACTGGAGCTTGGAGCTGGTTGGTGAGATGCCTACTTCCAGTCCCTACTCAGTGTGCTGGCTGGCTGGGAGTGATACCCAGTCTCTAATCTGTGATATAAAGTGGTAGCGATAGTTAAGAAAGCCTGTGAGGGCTATGAGAAGTAAAATGGCAAATGATACCTCTAGCCCTAGAGCCAGAGGTGTAATGGGAAAAGCGTTCGAGAACCAAGACATAGAGAAGATAAGAAAATGATAAAACGGTCCTTACATTAATAGACTATTCCTATTCTTAGATACAAATTGGACTTTTTATCATAGTGTATCCATAGGCTATGTATAGTAACCAATCATACATTTTTCACTTTCTCATTACTAATTCTCAAAGTTGTACGATTTCTCTCTTTTTTCTGATTGGCTCTCCTCTCTATAGTTCGACTTCTGATTTATTCTTTTTAGGTAGTCTTTGAAGGGGTTAGGGTTTATAAAATTCAGTATAAAAACCTCCCATTTCACGTACAAAGCTCTTCAGTCTTCCATCATATAAACTTCAGATACCCACTCCCTTGATTACTTCTAAAAATCCCTTGCTGCTACACTTTTCTGTCGAGCCTCTGTTGTCTTATATTGTCATCACCTTGCTTTAGTAACCACTTTACAGTGTATTCCTATGTATAATCATGTAAGTAGATATATTATTAATAATCTCCATAAGGCATTTACCAATCCTTACTCACAGCATGGATTTTTCAACCATGCACAGAATGCAGATGCAAGGCACTCTATTTTCACCGATATTGGGGATAATAGCATAGTGCATTATCACTTTGATCAGTATATCAATGCTCAACCAATGGTTGGGAGAGAAGAGAATAGGGATAAAAGAAGGGATATGAGGAGGAAAATTTGGTTTAGGGGAAGAAGAGGTAGAAGAGGTAGAAGAGGAGGTATTAGAGGAGGTGGAAGAGGAAGGAGAAGAGTATGGAGGAAAGGAAGAAGAAGAGCCAGAAGAGGGAGATAATCAAAAGCAAATGCACCGCCAGAACTGAAGTGAAGAGTTAACTGTATATATAGGCTTATGTTTTATATATAATACTAAGCTTCTGAAGTCAGATTAGCCTTGTGGGATTACTAATGGGGCTTGGTTGGCCATCATAAAAAATTTTGATTCAGAAAAATGGTTGAATGAATGATTTAAAAGATTTGTTAAGGGAGTAACAGCCTTAGGCCTAGAAAATTTATTTTTATTCATGCAAAGGGAATAGATTGTGATGATTAAAATGTTGCTGATATGCAAAGCAATGACTCTGCTTTCCGCTGGCACCAAAGACTTTGTCCTATTTTTTCATGTGCAAGATATGGCATTATAGGCTGGCAACTCTTTGGCTCATTAAGTTAAGTCTGTCATATCTATACCACAGGCCAGAGAACCAAACAATCTTGATCACTTTGGCTTTGGTTTCAGTATTTCTGGATCTGGCTATGCAATCCCACAATGTTCTGATACAAGGGTTGGTAGGTGGTGGGGGAAAAGGAGACAGCTGTCAGAGCATACTGCAGCCTGGTGGTGATCTGTGAAAGGTGTGTCACTTCTTCGGTGTGTTGCTAATAGCTTCTGGCACTTCTCAGACAGTCAAGGATAATGTCAAGTTCCTACTGGGAGAAGCTGATAGTGGTATTGGCCAAACTGGCCATTTTTTGAGATTGTCAGAGCTTGACCTTTGGAGTTGTTGGAGTTTGGAGTTTGGAGGTGTCCTGTGGGAGCAGGATAGAGTATGAGGTTGAGAGTCAGCTTAGCTTGTGTGCTAGGCCTTTAAGCAGACCTTAGTCCCTAACTTTATTTTATTTTATTTTCTAAATCCTTTTATTTGGTCCGCTTGGGGACAGTACGTCCCTATATCAGATCTATCATGGACTCTAAAGTACAATATATGTAGTATAATCTATCAGTGAGTAATCTAATATGTGTTTGGATGTGCATTGGACACCTTCACCAAGCAGTGATGACCTGACACAACGGGTGTGTCTCACATCAGTCCTATCACCGAAGTGACCGGGCTTGGCTCCACTGGTAGAAGGCAAGCAGGGGGATGTATCTTGGGGTGGTATTGTTGGATGGTAAGTAGTACAACATACACTTGGTTGCTGTGCAACTAGTGCAACATGGGAGAGGACCTTAAAGAGAAGAGAAAGGTGTGGGGGAGTGTCCTATGTGGTTGCTGCAAGTAGGGGGGGGATCCAATTTGGGGCCTAATTGCATGCTGGTTGGAGTTGTTTGTGGTAGAGACGCATTAAAAATCCCTTGGCTTAAGGGGAAAAGTGTGGTCCTTGACAAAACCCCCCCTCCTTCTCTAATGACCTTGTGTCTCCGTCAATCCACTTGTGTGAGCATTCCCATTGCTGGCAAGTGGTGTACAGGTGTGACCACAATTATTTTGCTTTTTAGCGGGTGGGGGTAAAATGGACCCATGTAAACTATATAGTTTTAAGTAAGATCTGTGTTACGGAGATATTACATCACCTGGTGCGACTGAAAATTGTTGTATTGCTTTGACTGTTACGATAACACAATTTCCGGACATCTCCTTTCCCTTTTATTCTCCGCTTTAAACTTTATACTTTAAGTGCCATGCGGCATTTCCCTTTCTCGCGCCGCGTTGCCTTTCTTTTACTTTTAGACTTAATTCTCTCACGCAGTGGAGCTGGCCATACGGGCTAGACCCTATGACATCATCAGCCACTGCCTTCATCAACTGTATAGTACACATGTACAAACAAACCTGTAGTAGTATATATACCCCAATAGATCCAGGAGACTCCTCAGCGAGTCCTCCTGTTGTATACCAACAAACTCTCTGCAGCTTAAGGGGTAACCACTCCCTCAACATCTTCTTTATAGTGTGTTCTTGTGTGTGCCAGAGTAACTAACTCTTGGTTGTTACATTAGGACTCGCTCTTTCTACTCTCTCGCACGTGTGTGCAGAAGTCCCATCATTTGGGCACCCGGACTCCAGGGTGAAGGAGATTGGTTAGCGGTTAGGAATATCCCGTATAGCAAATAGGTGCGCTCCTAGCGACGGCCTTGTAGTGCTTTGGGAGAAGAACCCAAAACCTGTGATACGCGGCCCCCAGCGTTAAGGGGAGTACTTAGCTCAGCAGCTGGTGTGGAACCACTGTTGATTAGAATAAAAATACATAACTTCTTTTTCGAATACCTCTGACCAGGCCGGGCACTTGCCTCCGCCAGTCTGGAGAAGGGTTGACAGCTTAACAAGCGGACCACCCCCTGACAACCGTTCGGACCAGGGTTTATTATGTTTACATTTTATATACATTTTCAAATACTATAGTGTGGGTAGTCGGAGATTGAGATCCGATACTCAGCTGGGA